TCTTGTCTGATCCCTTTCAGTTTCATTTTTTGGTAGTCTTTCTTATGCTGTTTTTCTGTTTTGGATTTCATAATAGTATTGGCTTTCCATCTTTGGTATAGCTGTTGGAAGCAATATCAAGATGCTAATTTTCTATGCTCCAAAAGCAACCCTTAATCATCTTTCAAATTTTTCTGTGCTCCAAAAGCAACCTTTAAATCATCTTTCAAATCATCTCCTGTTATCCCTTAGTTGATGCATGTGAAAGTGCAGGAGCATTCTTTCTGTGCCTCTTGATCCCAATTCCATGTGGCAAGGGGCATTTAAATGATGAGAATTGCTTTTAAAAGCAAAGTTGATGTACTTGAATTCTATTCAATTAGTCATTATTTTTCGACTTGCTTGAAAATTTAGCTGAGGTTAATCGTGGAAGTTGCTTTCCAGTCATGCTGCATGTGGTGTAATGATCTTTATAGGGATGTTGCTTGTCCAAGCAAATCCTCTCATGAAGAGTTATATGTTTTGGAGCTATTCTATCTTCCTTTGAAGTTTGAATACCTCTTACCAATGCAAATACTTTTTTTTTTTTTTTTTCGTGTGGAACTTGTTTACCCTTAATTAGTTTCTTAATTTTAACCTGCAGTTTCAGGCATTTGACTTTCTGAGAACTTTGAGAAACGAACCATTCTTGCAGCTTTTCCATTCTCTATATGTATATCCTTTAACTTTGAGCTTGAGTCAGAAAAGGAATCTATTCGTAAGAGTTGAGCTAAGAAAGGATGATGCAGATGTTCATAGGCAACCTTTAGAGGTAAAATTGTTGAGTGATACTTTGCACTATGATTTTTAAACTCGTCTTATTGTTCTTTCTGTGCTACTGATATGACTAGGCAATGTATCCAAGGGAACCTGGTTTATCACTTCAGAAGTGAGCTCACACACAAGTTGCTGTTGGTGCTCAGGTGGCCTGCTACCATGATGAAATTAAAGTTTCTACCTGCTGTTTGGACACAATTGCATCACCTTCTATTCACTTTCTTCCATGTTGATCTTCAAATGAAACTAGAAGCTCCAAAACCAGTGAGTTCAATGAGATCCTTTTTTCTTTTCCTTCCATTTGAAATAATACAAAATCATCTGAACCTTGTCTTAGTGGTTGTATACTCGTTGGTTAGTGGTTTGGCCTGTTTTGCACTCCTCTCATTCTATCTTTTATTGCAATCCCAAGTAGTTCTGTTCTTTTACTTGGCAAGTAGTAATTGGTTATGCAGCGCTTCCATTGTCCACCCATGCACACTATGCAACTGCCTTTATGTTTGTCATCTTTTGCTTTGTTTCTTTCCTTCTTGATTTATTAACTTACATTATTTATTCTGCTGCTGGAGTGATTGGTATGGTAGTTCATGGTATTGAAAATAAACAGGGGGCGGAAATATAATCACCTATTCAGTATTCTAGTGGTTTGTTAAGTTAATGTTATAATTTCAATTGTCAGGTTACTTTCCTGGTTTATGTTGTGGGTACTTAGATGATATCAATGTGAGTCTTCATTTACCTTACAGTGAAATGCTACCTAGTTTATTCGGATAAGTTTGACAAAATCTTATTAAAAACAACAGAGGTGGTATTTAACATCAAGAACTCTCATTACCTAAGCTTGGTGTATGAAGTTATTGAATCATAAAAATCGTATATGATTGTTTCTAGTTTATACCTCAAGAGATTTAATATTTTGGTACAGGTCACACTTGAGTAGGATATAGAGAAGGGTTGAATTGGGAACAATTTTATTTATCCTTTAGCCTTTTTTTCTAGAACAGTTGCAATTAAGATTTTGTAATGAGACTAATAATTATCTGTACCAGATAATGGATTTGGCTTTTAATTTATTCCCCATCCCCTAAAATTTAATGAAATAAAAATAAACTTGAACTTTATACTCCACGCAAACTTGAACTTTTATTTTTGGTTAGCATAGGAGTTGTATTCACATGTTTCGACTCATTTTATCGACAAGTCTGATTTATATTAGTATATGGTTAGCATAAACGAAAGTATTCGTTGAAGAATCTCTATATCACACTACGTGATTGTGTTTGGCAGAACTGACTTATAAGTATTTTCAGTGCATCATTACCTTTAGTAGCGCTATCCAGCATGCTATTTCAAGCGCCTGAGCAGCTTCATCAATAATAACCAAATTGAATGAACTATTCTCCAATTTGTGAGAAAATGCACCAGTCAAAGATTCCTAAGCTCTTTCTGGACATCTCTCGTAT